TAAGGAGCGTGGAGGGAGAGCGGTTATCTATACATCACATGAGGTTAAAGACAGTCTTACGAGGAGTCTCTAGCGGAGCAGTTATTTGCAACACATTTGTAAGCTTTAAAGCGAGCGCTCGAACTCCCCCACAGGGAAGTATAAGTGAAAGTCCCATTTGGCACACCCATTTCCATTGTCGAGTCTAAACATTATAATGCGCCCATCTTCGCTGATCACTTGTGAAATGTTTGCCTAGGATTTTTCATATTTTTGTCTCTCACGGGGACACTTCAAGTAGTTCCCCAACAATGAACTACGAACATGCTTTCGCCCCAGGTGGGACTTGAACTTGTACGTCTCGCTTACCGGGCATGTGCACTACAAGTTACGCTACCGGAGAATCGTTTCTCACTAACTCCGGAGAGGAATTCTTTCCATTATGGGTAGAGGTGATGAACTGGAGCATTTTTCGATCCATTATTGTTATTCAACTAAACTAGCATGATTTTTGGTGTGATCACCTCATTGTTCATTAGTAGTTGAATGTTTATCTGCAGTTACTGTTTTGTTACGTACATATTTATGGAGCCGACGTCTTATCCTTCCATTACATCATTTTTTCATGAAGTGTGCAACAGCCGAAAATCATAAAGGATGCCTATGAAAGGTGTTGCATTGGTGTTAGATTGAGGGAAAATTTTGACGAATTTTAAGCGCCATTTAACCTTTCAGATGAAGTAACTGGTGATGGCTTACATTCCACCATAAAATTCCCCTCGAAGGTTCAGTTCAGGTTCCATATACTCTCAACACCTCTATTAGCGGACTTTTGTCAGTAAACTGATGCAAATTAGTGGGATGGTAAAAATTACGTGGAGTGGTGAAGTTCGGTTTCTTAGCGCGAGTGGGTCTAGATGCCTTTGACGCTCGCTTTCTGATTGCCCTGCCTTTTACTACTGATTGCAATGAATTCCTCACTAGTTTTTTTTGCAAACTCTATAAGATCAACTAAGTTTATTTACTGCAACAAATCCATTAGCACGCACGCCTTACTCATAGCGCACACCTTAAGAAGGGGACTTATCGACGGGAAGACGTGCCTGCGAATTCCAGGTTAGTTGGAAAGTCGAATCACAACAGAGCCAATATTATAAGAAAATACCCAGAATTTTCACAAGACTACGAATATTTCGAAAAAATCGTTTTTTCGAAAATGAAATTTGTCAAAGAAGTTAATCGGTTAAATACATTAAGAGATTTGGATCAATGGAATGAAATGCACAAACTATGATTGCAATTTAATGAAGAGCGATAAAACTGGGTCGTTAACCCTGGGTCTCTGCGCTACATTCGATGGACAAGAAGCAGACGGTAAAGAGAGAAAGAGGAAATAAGGGAGGAATTCAGACTCTGGGTAGAGAATGACAAAAAAAGGAAGTTTCGTGGAAACTCGCGGTCTTAGCTATCCAACAAACATAACATTGATAACATTTAAACATAGCATAGGATCTTGCGTGTTTTTCGGGAAATGGCCCCACAGACGAATTTTCCACAGAAGTAATTCTCTCAGAAGAAAGAAATTAGAAAGAATTCACCCATGTTAGGAACTAAAAACTGGTTTTCATTTGATATAAACGGATAAATAGTGCGCTAAGCACATCTCCACGACGTTTGTAATTCCAACAGCAAGCATTCTAAACAACTTTTGTCGGTACTGGATTAATCCGCTAAATCAACACTGTCGCCTGATCGTGTTTTACCACAGCCACAAGAGCTTGCCAATCTTTTATCGACTTCCTGCCATTCTCTGGTCTCTTTTAAAGAAGATTCCACCATCACGATTCCCTGCTTGAGCTTCAGCTCGCCAATCACGATCGCGATTTTACTTTTGCAATGTGCTTGGTTCTCTGAGAACTGCTATGACTAGGTTGAAGATTCTGCTTCCATTCACTATTTCAAGCAAGTTTCAGAAACCCTACGACATGGTGAACTCGCGAAAAGACTACGTGAATATTACTATACTATTTATAGTGAATCTTCTTAACTATGTAGATCGTTATACTGTTGCAGGTAATTGCTTTCTGTTCGAATCGATTTCTCCTTACAAGCCCAGCCTATGTACTCTTTTTTTAATGGTACAGGGTGGCCAAACATTACAGCAGTGTGGACAAACATTAAGCAAAAGAAGCAGCCATGCATATTAACACCGTGTTTGCAAATCTGAATTGAGATATTGCGATTGTAAGCCACAGATCCCCAGAAAATCTCGCAAAACAAAGGCTCCCCTGAGCGTGAAAGGGCCCAATTCAAAATTCCTGACTGGTTGAGTTGGTCGTTTATCACTAACACGACATGGTGAATGGGTTCCACGGACTATTTCGCTCCTTTGCAACTCAACATCGGCGCCAAAACGAGAGTTTCTTTATAACTTATCATGAATTATTATAGCTATGTATTACTATTGGGCGAAGACGTTCGCGTAGGTAGACGTAGTGACAAGTGGCGCGCTTACCACGCGAGCGGTCCGGGATCAAATCCTGGGTCGTGAGTCGCCCGGGCCAACCAAGCCTTCCATCCCTCCGGGGTCGGTTAATTGGTACCAGACTTGTCTGGGAGGATAAAAACACTGACTTGAACATCGGCTGGCCCCCGCAAGTCATTGTATAGGCCACATCGCATTCAAACGCCACTACGAATGTACAAATGGAAGTAGAATGCGTGCCGCATCCCAAAAAGGGATTGATCAACGGCAAATGCTTTATCCTTATCCTTTTATCCGTTTACCATTTGCTGTAGATTAAGGTTCTGCTAATCATTATACTATATCTGATTTGTCACCTGAAGATATATTTATTTATTTATTGGAAAAGAGGCAAACCTTCATTTTCTGGAGGGCATTGTTAATGGTACAGAGATTTCACCTATTAAGGGCAGAAGGAAAAGTTGATATACTTGATTCCCTAAACTATACCGCTTCTACATACTTGTCATTTTATCCATCAGATATCTTTTCGCTAGTCGTAGACTTAAAGGTCATAACTGTCACGAGCGAGGAATCCATGGCCTCAGGTTGCGAACCAGACCTTCCTCAGAATTCTGGGACCCCATAGAGCCCATCGCAGTGGCAAGAGGTCAAAGTCAAGCGACGATGTGTTGCGAACTATATGGATTGCAGCGTCCAGTTAAACTAGAATATCATTGCACGCCTACACCGCACACCCCGCAACTTCGTCCGAGGACTCTGCTTCTGCGCAGCGACGGGCTCCTAGCAGGCCCTCAGAAATAAAAATGATTATTCTCATTTGCGCACAATGTGTAAAACAGGCCATGTGCCAAAAATGCAAACACCAAATATTTTTGTTCTTTGTCGCGCTTGATCGTGCATAACGAGGATAGTTCTCGAGCTACATGTGATATCGTGGCGTGAAATATACCATGTTTTTCTGACGTAGGATTCTTCGAAAGTCGATCAGCCAATTAACTATGGATGTGCTGGAGCAACCGTTCATGGGAACGATTGTCATGGGTAAATTATTGAGTCCTCTAACCTTTCGAACTTTGCGTTTTCTTCTGGGACCGATCGATTTCACAAACCGAAGCCACATCATCAGCTCCCGGTTGAAAATGAATATTTGCTCATTGCCTCGTTGACTGACATCACCTGTGATCGCTTGACACTACCGTACATTAATTCTCACCCATCGAATGAAATAATTTGTAAATATACATGTCTTTGATCACTTAATAAGAGTCAACCAAACCAATCATTAATCCTTGACAGATTATGAACCATGATGCGAAATCGAATATATCGATTATACGCTACTCACTTACACGAAGATCTAGAAAAGACATATACTGCATAAGCTCGCACATAGTTAATAGTAACAACATGGCAATCGCTTATGTGCACATACAAAAAATCAGTTTCAAATAAGACACTAATGATGAACAACAAATTTATCCGCCGTTTTATTTCACTCATAAGCTTTGACAAAAACCAACAAAAACAACAATAAAATGCGTAATCAACAAACGCTCTCGAGCAGTCTCTCTGCAACCGTGCCTTCATTCCTGGCTTCAATTGATTCTACGAGCAGATGCAGAAGCATTCAGTTTCGAGCTCAAATTGCAGCAGGAGCACCTTTTTGCTCACGTTGAGCTCCAGAGTAAAGCAAATACACAAGTGTTGAAAATCTACATGTGCAGGGGATTGCTCGCTTTCAGACTAAATCATAACCCTTGGAAGTAAACAGTAAAAGACTCGAAGAGCCATGAGCAGTAAAAACGGACAGAACTGGTTTGTTGCTGACCTTAATGAATCTTTAGGTGCAGTATTTAACAGCACTATGGTATAGGAGCAACCCAAGTGAGGGCATACTATAAGATCACACTCTATGGCTGGTTTATACAAACAGTATTTCTCCTATTTTCAATGATCGATCACTTTGTGCGGATATATTGGGAGATCGGTAAGTATCATTTCAGCTCCTTTTACTGTTGCTCAAGAATTCATAAAACGACTTTCAGTCTTTTATTTACTTATTTATTTGTTTACTCATCACATTAGGCCGCCATCCTAGAGGGATTGCTGCAACTAGACTATAACTAAACAGATTGCATACAAACACTAGAAACTTTTCGCTTCCTACAGAGAATACGAACTTCCAGTATTACTCATAAGGGAGATAGGCAATCAAGAATTTTATTTTTCCAGCTCGCAATTTTTATAATAAAAAACAGTCCAAAATATTTTTGACTAGTTTTTGTTTGTTAACTGCTGTTTTTGGCCGCAGTTCGCCTTGCGAATGTTTCACAAGAATGCTGGGTTGTGAACAAAACTTTCGCCCCAGGCGGGACTAGAACCCGCACCTCTCGCTTTCCGGGCAAGTGCGCTACCAGTTACGCTACCGGGGCACCAGTTTCATCCCAACTCAGCTTTCAGCCTGCAGCGAGTGTCTTGTGAAACAGTCCACAATATAATAATTAACACAAATGGCCGATCCACTAAATGCTGTATGCTTTATAGGTTCAACCGAAAATTCATTGTAGTGGTCGGAGTGACGTTGTGGTTGGCTGCTGTGATTGCTTCAACATTTGTACCGGCCGAGGTAAGTAGAGTGGTACAGTTACTGTCCCCCTCAATACTATAGGGATGAGGATAAGAGTGGATCAGATCGTTTATGAACTCTTCGTACTCAGGCTTCAGAATGTAACCAAATGTTTAATAGTAATGTAAATTTAATGTAAAAATGTAGAAAATGTAAAAATGTAATGAAATATAAAACTGTCCCGAAAACTCCGAATGCATTGAGGGTTAGACATCCACGACTTTCTGATTACTGAGGAAACGGTCCCAACATTTTATGATGTACTTTTTATGATCATTTTATGGTCAGAGGTTTCGTATATTTGCATGAAAAATTTATTCCTTTTTCTTGATGTTGGCTGTTATTGCATGATCGATTTATTGGCTTTTTCTCCAGTCTGGACCTGAGTGAGTGGCCTTTTTCTTGTGAGGAATGGATAAATCTTAACGAATCTTCCTCGGTGTGCGCCACACGAGCAACTCCGACTCGGTCTATACTGTTATTTGCCACAGAGAGTAGACGTACACTAAACCGCTATGAACCCTCTCATATACAACCTGCTGCCATTATCTGACCCCCAGACGAGTGGAAAATTGATAGGGTGTGCGTAGTACGAGCAGGGGCATGAACTCGAAACGTGTGTGGTCATTACACCATCTCTGCATAAATAAACGCTTCATATTTGAATTTTTCCACTGTTTGACCCACTTTCGCCATTGTCGTGAATCTGAAATACAGACTATCGACGATTTAGCATTTCTGGATGTTTCTGCTATTCCGCGGAATCGTTGGAATCGGTGAAGCATCCTATTCAAATGTATGTCCGTCGATGATTTCGGATATGTTCACTGGTCCTACTCGCAGTCGTATGTACATGATTTTCTACTTTGCTGTACCTGTTGGAAGGTACGATACAGTTTTGAAGTAGTACTTGATACACACTTTACCCCACGTTAGAGTGCTTGATGAAATTTGGCGCTTCACGAAGTGTTTCCTCATACTCTTTTTCCTTTCTTTCTCCCAAAGACTAGGAAAATTAAAAAGCAGGGTCAGGCGGATTGCTGAGGAATTACATTTTCAAAAAGTCTTTTTTTGTGTGCCCAAGTTGGCCTCAAAATACCAGGACTATCACCTCTTTTAACTAACATCATTTCAGCGGCCTCGGTTTTGTCGTGGGATCAAATGTGGCCAGCTTGCTGAATGCTTGCAATTGGGATACGTGTTACGACATGGGGGCTGGTAGGAGCTTTCAACAACTTAATCTTTTACTTCTTTCCCTATTCCTAACCCATTGTTTATCTTAAGGTATCGTTGCATTGGCATTACTGATTCTCGTGGTCGATGAGCCAAAACGCGGAGGAGCTGAAATCACTGAAGGAGCTCATCTTCAAGTGGCAGGTGGCAACTCGTACTGGATGGACATTAAAGCGCTCGCCTGCACGTGAGAGAAAGCAAAAAATAAGAATTCAAATGATCCCTGGAAGTTTGGGAATAGGCGATACAATAGGCATTGAAGAACAAACAATTCTAACAATTCTCAACTCCAAGGGAGGATTGTATCCCATTTACAAAAATAATTGATTTTCGATTTTTCATAATTCTCTTTCCCAGGCCCACATTTTCCGTGCACTCTTGGGCGTACACGAGCTTTGGATCGGTTGGTCATGGACACGCTGACATTGGTGGGAGCCGACGTGCATCGGCGCCACTCGCATGGCTTGGATCAAGCGCCCACGACACTCGACTTGCTCCAGCGCAGCAGAAAAATGACAGTACAGTTATCTGGGACCGAATTAGAAATAAACTGCCGGAGATAGCCTGTCTTATTTGGGTTTTTAGTTGGGTTGTGCAGTGCCAGCTGGTCAGCAATCCGGGCCCCTGTGGTGGCCGGGAGCATGTATGTGGGTCTCATCCAGTAAGGGGGGCATGTGGTGCGACAGTTCATATTGCACGAAGTAGTCCACTTTTTAGGGAGGGAAGCTCCGGAGGGGTGGGTGTAAAAGCTTAAGAAAATGGTTCAAGTACGCCGGATTCCCTCCCTTTGCAAAAATTGGAATTTCCGTTGCTGGCAAGAACTGCCGCATCACATGTCCTCTTATGGATGGACCGGTCCGTGTTTATTCTCAAAGCCATGTGGAGAGAACGGAAGACGAGAGCATGATGATCTTACCGAGAAGATAGCTAAGGTTCACTTTCACAGCTAGGCAGAGCGATTGTGTCGAAAGGCGGATAGGAATTCGTAAAAGCGATTGGTGAGTGTTGATTGAGGGCCGAAAGAGCTGATTCAGTCTCGGCCGTCATCGGTCAGATCGGCTTGGTTCTGGTTAAGTAAATTCGAGTAAGCGACTGGCAAATGTTCATCTCCTCAAATACCCGATTTTCAAAATTTTTACCAGAAGCGAAATCCTGACTAAACCTACGAGAAAAGCTCTCCTTATTTCAGGGTTGGCTTGATCTTCGGTTTGATCACTACCGTGTCCGGTATCATTGGAGTATCAATAGACGTATGTCTATTGAGGTGTAAGGTTTCTGATTTCACTTTCCAAATTTTTCGATAAAGGAGCAGTTAGAAATTGATGCGTACTGCAGGCTGTCAGGAGTGGAAGAGGCGTGTTCCGACATCTGAAAACCGAACGAGCTCAGCCAATCATCTCCGGAATAGGGGCTCTTATCGCAGCACCGCTTCTCTCCTCATCTTCCTATTTGGCCACAAGAGCATCATAGCGTTATGGGTTCGTTTTTGACTAATAAATGAGAATGAAGTTGAGAATTCGATGGTTCCCATTATTTGAAATTTTGAGTGCTGATGTTTTTCGTCATTACGTCTTGCTGTGCAAATGGCTTGAACGTCGACATTGGTTAGATGGTATGCAATGGCCACCGAGAACAGACTTAAAGTGCACTAATAAGCGCCCACGAAATCCAACCACCATACGAAAAAAAAAAATTCGCTCCACCTTCAAAAGAAGGTGCGAGTAGTGGACAATGATGATGCACTCATGAAAGGTTTGAAAAAGGGCCAGCACACGGGACCACTGCGGCGACGACGCTCAGAATTGGGTGATTGCCTGTGCCTCGCCTTGTCCTCATTGCAACACATAATGCATATGCTGCGCAAGCGCCCCACTAAGGAAAGCTGCCGGCGCGTCACCGCAACCTTTAAGCCCTGTACGGCTGCCCTGTTCCTGTGTAAAACTTCTCCCACAGAAACGATTTTCAGTCACCTTCTCGGCTTCTTGACAGCAACCCTCACCCTACGAATGGGAGGATTTCAGTGACCTTGTATTTGACTTCATTTCAGATGCCTTCTTTATTGTTTCAGTCTACACATACTTTAACGATCATATATTGTAACGGCTTTCCAAAGTTATTCGGCCAGATCAACGAATGGTAGATAAAATGTAGACGGCAACGAAATAGCTTGCTCTACTAATTGTCTACGCGCAGGGCCAACAAGTTAAATAACCTGAAGGGAGTCAACGCTGATTACCTGTAATTTGTGATCGTGCCACTGTCCTTGTATACTAGCGCTACCAATTCATAGGTGACTACTGGTTGGCAAATTTTGTTTCATCCACTCAAATAACCCTGGTACCAATAGATGACGCCGAAGAGAAGGTGAGGGCGGTGGCCTAAGTCTGATCTAGACATCGATTGATCCTGGCCTAGTGTGGTTATGCCGAAGCATCAACGCGATGCCGAAGCAACCTTCCACTACTATCTAATGTACTCGCCTAAATTTTGTGTGGTTGCTAATTTAGAGTGTTATTGCTACCATCGCGCGGGCACAGCGTTCTCGATATTTCATGACTAATCGCACTTTTCTTTATTCGGAGATGCACAGTCATACATAATCGGATGCGGTGAGTTTGAGCAGAATGAGGAATTTCAAAAAACAGTTATACAGTGTTTCTTACCTTTACTTACTTTGATTGGGTTAGAGTTGGTGATGGCTAGTAGTGCGGCGGCGAATTCAAAAACAAAGCCAAGCCAAAAAATGATACGGACAGCTATTTCTCGCCAAGGAAGTCATTGAGGACGTCGAGTGCCTTTTAAAGGTGGTTCCATGTGTGTTGTAAGGGCACTTGGATTGAAATAGAATTCAAATTAATTTTTCTTGTGGGGTCCTAACAGTGTCAAAAAACAGGGCTAAAGCTCAGGATCGATTCCTCCTAGAAACAGATTATATTTTCCTCAGCGTGGGAGCTGGAAGAGTTGCTCACTGTGGCCTCATACGGGACCCTCTCTGATACAAGCACTCTAGAATGCAACAACTTGAGGCCAACCATGTATACCAAAATGTAAAGAATTTACGTAAAAAGAGTAACACAATTCTTGATTAAACCCGCTGCTCAAGAAGCGTCTGCATCATGTACCAAGCCTTTTCTCCTACAATATGCAGTGATCCTTTTTGAACGAGCACTCCATCTCCTGAACAACCCACTTGTTTAGTGCTGCATAGAAGCCTGCTCTCGACCTTCAACTCTAACCAACGTTGGTACATAGACGGCACAGTTTTGTTTGTAGTGTAAACGGTGTTTCTGAGAGAACCTTTAATTTTTTGCGAATATTTACCGGATTTTCGGAATTTCTTATCCTTCACGTTTCTGTAGATTTCTTAGATCTCGTTCAGAGAACAAGAACGTACGGGAACAAAAATTGAGCTAGCGCAGCTATGGACCGTCAAAAGAAAAAACATGTATGGAGTCTTCGCCAAGAGACAGTATTGAGAATAGTGAATAAAAATAATAATCAGATAATAGGGATGGAATGGTACAAATGTAACATGATAATCGCTGAAAAATTGTGAATGTAAAGAATCTCTTCAAGGTTTCGGACGCTATACGCGGCCCAGTGAAGACACCCGAGACGCAATACCTTTCACTGATCAAGGCCTGCGCTGTCACAGTGGTGCTTCTTTGTGTATCTGCTGCACTGTACTTCGCCTGTGCAGCAGTACTGATCAAAGATCAATACAAATTCAAGGAGCAAATGGGTATGTCAGTTATTGGTGCTAAGCTTGCCCAAAATTTTATGTGAAGGTTTTGGTTCTCAAACGACGGAAGAATTTTATGTACTTAAACTTTGTTCTCGGGAAAGTGAAATATTAAATTTATTTTTATGCTTCAAAGACTTTTTGACAATCTGAGCATCGAAAAATTCCAGCGGTGTTTTGAAAATATTTGTTTGGATGAAATTGAAAAACAGCTAAATACGTGGGGTACCCCAGGAGGCCCGTCGCGCGGCAAAAAGGCAAAGTCAGCGGACGAGTCGCGCGCGTACTATAGGGATTTCGCGTCAAGTTAAAGAGTGTCCCACTGCACGTCCTACATCGCACACCACGCGCTGCAACTCGTCCGCCGACTCTGCCTTCTTGCCGCGCGACGGGCCTCCTGGGGGCAGTACCCATAAATTATGTTGCTACCGGGCCGCTAGATGATGCCAGGAAAAACTCGAGTCCGAATTCGACTTCCGGTGAAACAAATTATTTCGCCTTCTTCTCTGCATCTATTTTTTTCATTCCCATTGGTTACAATTAATAAAACATAAAAGGCTTCAACTTCGTGACTATGAATGCTTTTTATCTTTCTGTCGTGAATATTTTAGTCCGAATTTCTTCTGGAGTCTTTACCTCCAAATATTTTCAACAGCAATCTTTCAGAATCACTTTTTTCCACCATTATCTCAATATAGGCTGAATAACATCACTACCCATCCATTTCAGGTCTTTTAAATGGATCGCTCAAGAAGCCGGCTTCATCGAATTCCTCTAATGATAGGCTGAACGACTTACCGGATGAAGACGATATTGAAACAGCTGAACAACGGCTATAACTACCTTGAGAAATATGACTCGGATTGTGATAATGGGGCATATTCTAGTTCTCTAGAAGTCGCCAGTACACCTGCAGCTGCCGCGTCGGCAAAGTGCATAGTTATGTACTGTGTCGATAGTGTAAGAGCATAATCTGTTATCGATTGATCCTTTTGTTACTGTAGAAAGACCACGGGTCCTTCACGTCCTACCACGCTGCCAAACTTTATTTTCAATAAGACGGCATAATCACTGTAATTGATTGTAATAAAAATTTCAAAGCAATTTCCGCACTTGAAAATCCTCCGTTGACGTACAAAAGTACATCGTGTGGTCGCCCACACGCCTCACATTGCACGCCTCAGTCATCGTCGTCGTTGTGCGCCAGCTTCAGGTAGCAGCCGCAGAGGCCCAATCTCTCAACTTGCATGCTCTTTGCCACTGCGTCCGGATATTTATTGCACCGTGACGTCGTATGACCGTCACGGTTATCCGGGAGTGGGCAGAAGAGGCATGAAGAGCGAGGAGTGGAGCGTTCTAGTAGCTCTTTAACCGCTCCTTCAATATTTTGGAGACATGCGGTTACATGGTGGAAGGTCGACTCCATCTACTGTTGCAGTCCTTGAATAACTGACAGGTTCGTTTGCGTAAGAGGCGGAACGACCCACCTTTTGTCCTTGACCAACCATCTTCTAGCTTGTTAGTGCATTAGATCAGCATTTGAAGTGGACGATTCTGCGTGGGCGAGTATTTCGGAGATGTCAGATAGTAATCGGCACATGGACTTTATTCGCTGGAAATTAGAAGTCCTGCTGAGCCCAATATTGTAGGAAGGCTCGAGATCAGCAGCAGAAACTAATAGCCTCTTCAGGACTGAGAACGGAAAGGCAGCCAAAAACGAAGGCTTTGGAAATCATAAAAGAGTTTGAGAAAAATATTCTGGCCTATGCCAAGATTTATTCAGAGTCGAACTTGGACATAAAACAAAAAAATAGTCTGGAAGACCCTCAGGATCAAAATGTAAATGTTTATGTGAGTGCAACACATTATGCTCCGTCTTCACTAAACCGGTTGTACAGCAAAATGATCTATAAATCGCTGATAATACTACAGTCGATGCTCTTGGCAACAATACAAGCCGTTGTCGGACATAGTACAACAAACCCTAAGTGGTATAACGTGAAGGTCATAATCGATCCGCCAAAGACAACCTTCGAGCTGCGTTTCAATAACGAATGTCGAAATTTAGAAATAAATCACCAGAATTGATATTTACCATACGTCCTTCACCCATAAGTGGAGAGGTTCAAAAAACCGGATGAAACAGCTTCTACTCGAACACTTCCTGCTCCCCACATGATTTCTGACCGTGCCACAGAAAATTCTATCGACGTCATTGCTTGTTGGCCGGCTGGTGCATTAGCGATGATGTCATTCATCATCGCACTGCGAGTCCTTATCATTTTTCGGATGCTGAAGCATCTCACTTGTTTCAAACGTCGGCGTAAATCCACTGTAACGAACAGAGGGTCGGTGGAATTAAGGGGAATAGAAATGAAAGTAGTTCATTCTTATCGACCCACATCTTTTAGCAGTCGTATCTCAATGATAGCCCGTGTGCTGTTCACGATAATCAGTCTAGGTAGCGCATGTCAATATGGATTGTCCAGACATCATATTGAACTAGTATGATGTAATCAGGATAGAAAATGCTCTTACGGAATAGGGCGCGAAGTTCAACAGGTAGGAAAAATTGCACTGAACTACACCTTCAAAACCGAACACTTGGTGCGCTAAGCACAGAGGTGAAAGCTGTGCACTTTACCTGCGTAAAAACATCGAAGTTTTTCACGAAGAACACGCAGCACAAGATATTCTATTCCTGGCCGATGCACCGAAAAATGTAATGACTTATAGGAGGAAGGGTGGCGCCTTTTAATAACCAGAGATGACTATCTCTCTTCAAAAGAAATGGTAGGTGGCTCACTGATTGGATATAAAAATTATCTCAATGTCACAAAGTACACCATGATTCGAGCAGAACAGACACGAAAATGCTCCCCAAGCCTTGCCCCCTAAGGAGCGGGGGTGATTGCGCTTCCTGGCATATGCCAGAACAGCCTTGTCGTAATTGGTGACTTTCACATTGAATTAATATTTATTTCAAACATTGCAATTTTGTACAGCTTAAGAGAAAAATCAATTAATCTTCAATGACCGTAACTTTCAGCACAGGCCCAGAGGAATTAAAACACGTTTCTTCAGTGAAGACATCAACAGTGAAGTACAACGACCGCCCATCGATTAGATCTAGCACATAGCTGGCCAACATCACCAGGACAAATAGCCATTCGGAGATTGCCACCGTAGACAGCACTGAAAAGCAATGACATGTGTAATTTAGTGTCAGTCGAAAAAATTGATAACTCTGGGGTTTTTCCCAAGCCACTTTAGTACAGAGTGTCCCATAAATATTGCACCACTTCTCTTTACGTGTATTTTCTTTCAGAATGCATTTATATTCGAGGAGTTTTACAAAATACATTTATATGTAAAATACATATACAACATAAAATATATATATAATAATTTACATATAAATAAAATAAAAAACAAGGATGTGTTGCACTGATCCAATGCCTACCCATTTGATCACACGTGTTGTGAGTCATAAATTTCTTCCAATTTTCCACGATGTATCTTCCGATGATTATCGTCACAATTGCGATGCCCATTCGACAAAGTGTCATTGTACATCGGCCATGAAATTGGTTACGACATACTTCCTTTGCAGGGAGAAAAGGAGTAGCTATTTTACGCTTAGTGCTAATCTTACGTAATATGTAAATCGGTTTGTAAAAACTTTATACCGACTTTGATTGTGCTTAGCAAAAACATCTTCATAACAAATGTCACCAACGCTATGGCCAGAGCGATTGCAGACGTTTGTGAATCTGAAACAGTCTCATTTTGAGCAGTGCTTGAAAGACCACTGATACTCCAGAAACTAAAATGATTTACTTTGTCACTTATGAGATTGTGCCCATTCTTACTAGCCACACATGCGTAGATTACGCATTGAAGTCCTCTGGATTCCATAACGGGGCTGTAGGCGTGGCGCAAGTGAGTCCCTTTGTCGCGCTGTTAAAAGCAAAATAATCGCTCGTCAGTAAAGCGAGCGCTTCGCTCCGAACGCCCTTGGAAGAATTTGTTTGTGGTTTGTCTAGGAGATTGATCACTATTGCATATGTCTGGCAGGATCGGGTCCATGCAATCTGCAATCCATATTCCAATCTCTCAGGTCTACTTACTGGTCCAGAGGGTAAATAAGACTTGTTGTCTGGTTTCTTCACGAAAGCTCTGAACGAAAGGAATGAAGCTCGTGTGCCCTCGAGCGAAGGAGGATCCACTGGACCACTCTAGCACGCGACAGGGACGAATGGAGACGTTGCTGGCGCCCGCTCGAGCAAATCGACGATCAACGGGACGACAGGTGATACAGGTGAGATGTCTGGCAGGATCCGATCCAGTCTACTAAGTGGCGACGCCCATAGCGATTGTTCTAATGTGCCGCGCCAGAGGTCTGCGTGCGGGTCAAACAGCGCTCCACCTTCGATGATGTGATTACTCATCTCCGCTGCGCTACATAGTATAAAATTAGCGTTCCAGCGCACGTTGTGGTAGCAATTTGCCGCGCCGCCGCGTTGTGGACGTTCTGAAAGATCAACGTGTCGTCTGAACCTTGCTGCTAAAACATAGGGTTATCGGTGTGAGTCCTAAAGCCTAACACTGCCTCCAACTTGCTTCCGTCGCCTCCTATCTTGACTGTAACAGCACTGGACTTTCTTTGGAAACTGGGTGTGAAGCAGGAGTTTCCGTCATCCTCCGACTCTCTCAAAATTCAAAAAATAAAAACTTCAATTCACGGAAAATACGCTCCAACTTCTCCCCACAGGGAACGGTCAACACAACCGTAACCTCGCTGCACTGCCGGGCGCGGTGTATATGTAACGTTGCGGGCGGGGGCCTTTAGGACAAGTTCTAGATAGCTAAATTGTCATCAACCAGCGAGTGTGTTGATGATGATGTTCTTGTTGGATGCATTACAACATGGAACTGAGCCTGTATTGGCTTGCCCCGTCAGACTATGATAGCTATGCCTATTTTGAGTATGTGGACTCTTTATTGTAGGCATCTGTGATTACACTTGATTGTTCTCCCAGGAATTGAGGGTTTCTGAGGGGGGCAAGGGTTCCTTTGGATGCGCCAGCCCTAGCTATTACTTAAATTTTTGTATGCTTTATTCGATGTGGCGGCTGAAAGCCGTTTTCAGTGAATGAGAAGTTTATTTGTTTATTCGTTTCTCTTTCTTTATAGAATTTAAAATTCCACTTCAAATCACAGTGAATATAAAAAATTCTTTGTGGGTACTGTAAGTCCCTACTCAATCGTTCAATCTTTGGAAATGAAACGCGCCTACTCGTCCACGAATTCATACACCTGCCGGAAAATCGCAACCCACCCTACCAGCGCGACAAGTTCGCAATTCTGTTGAGACACACCCCTTCTCAAATATTAGGCGTTTCAGAAAGTTCTGTCTTTTTTCGACTCCGAAATTCAAATGCATGTATCTCGGCTTGAATCAAACCTTTCCGTTGAAATAAAAATCGTTCGAATGCGCTGACCTTCCGCTATAAGGCGACTTTTCAGTGATTACCTTTGTTAAGAATGCTTGAGCTTTGAACGCGTTAAACTTTAGCCGGTTTCAACAGTCCGATGAGTGACCGCTACCGTAATCCACGTTGGCACTGGAGCGCGCAGCTACACTACTGCTGTGTACCCACACGTTTCAGCACCAACGTGAGAGGGTATAATGCCTCGCTGGCGAGTGCACAATACCCCCAACCACCACAGCCGCCCTTGGGCGACTATCCAAAAATACACGCAGCGCTCGCCTCGCCTACGGTTGCGGTCACTCACCGGACTTTGTAATCTCTCTAATGTTAAACTGAGGGAAGGTCGTTTTGGCATCGGGTTGTGTTTTATAGAATTTCTCTTCAAAACTATCGAAGGCCCCAAAAAAGTGATAGTTGGTAGCCAGAGGTATAGTGAGTAGGATATCTGCAGCACCCCTTCTTAGCCTTACTACAAAACACAATTTTGAATTTGGAAGGTCGTTCCTCAATTTCTACATTGTTTAATATGTATAAGCAAATCGCCTTTCTACTAATTAGCGACGCGCGAGGAACTCCACATTCCATTCTCCATCGAATCCATTGAAGTATAAATCATTAATTTTTTCGCTTACACTGATAGTCCTGTCCTATGTGGATGGTGAATACTATGAAGATAGCGATAACGTGTAATGTCTCATTGATGATCGCCAGTGGAATGGTGGTGAACCACATCGACCTTCGGCGGGAATAAAGGCACAATGTAGCCGAAAGAAGCAGAATACGATGAAGAAGACTGAATAGAATCGCAGCACGGATCAATACCTGACCGAAAATTATTTTATAATTTTTTTCTTGTTTTCATTTTCTTAGCGAAGCTTGCACAACTAGTAAATTTGAAGTTTATTCAAACTACATTAAGATTAGAGTTCTGGTTTTGTTATATACCTTCGACGAAAATCATGTAGTGAGCGATAGTAAGGGGATTTCGAACATGTTTATAGCCAGTATGCCAATGTCATTGAAAAAACGATGTTGGAGAGCCCGAGTATTTAACAGCAATATCAAATTAAAATAAGGGTTAGTGGCATTTAAAGACATATCCTGAGAGAGAGAAGGAAACAAAGGCGACCAACCTGCACACCAACAAAGAGCTGACTTGATCGAAATAGCGAAGGTAGGAACTCATTTTCTGGGATTTCCTTGCGTTTCTGAAGAAAATTCAACCAGCTAAAGTTATCAATTCTAAAACATTGCACTGAAATGACACCATGTGTCCTGAACAGGGACGCCGAAAGCAGCCTGGTATGATGTATTGCATGTGGACTTAAAGCAATAATTTCAGATCGAATTCGCGGGGTAAAAACGGGCGATAATGAAATTGTGGATGCCGAGTTGACTGCAAATGGAAAAAGCAAAGAAAACCGCCAATGAAGCCTAAAATGAGGACTTCCTTTGTTTCCTTTGAAATGAAGAAGGGGCGGGCCGGACGAGCTGTCCGAACTAGCTTGCTCCGCCGGCATTTATTGCTGGCTCGTGCCAGCAAGAAATGCGGCTGCAATCGCATATGCACCAATACAAACAGAGACATATGCATCAGTACAAACAAAGAAATGCGATAATTAAATGAGTTAAGCAAGTAAAAACCAACCAAAAAGAGGCAGCATTAATTTTGAAACGCGGTACAGTTACACGCAATCGCGCAAGGACCCACATCAAAGCACGCAGATCACCACGGCTGGCAAGTGGAGGTTGTGACCGATCGGACCCCACGCCACTTCAGAGGCGCTCAACTCTCTAGCGGCTTTCCAACGTGTTTCAGTTCAGTCACACTTCTTATGTTCCTGAGTAGGGTGAGAGCATCGTTTCACACCATTAGTGTCGAACGAAAGAAGCCTGCTGATGCTGTCACTTCGAAGTCTTCCTCTGCTAGAGATAGTTGAATAAGTGCCTATGTTATGGTTGGTTCAGTGGTAGAGACTTACTGACTCCTCTGAACTATGATGATACATTGCTTGGCTTATATACGGTGACGGTCTAACCAGATGTTACAGTACTAACAGATGTCTACGCAAAAAGTAACTCCAGATGCTAAGGTAAGAAGAAGTGAATGACTTTACAGATTCTATGCTAAAAGAGAAGTTAACTATTGCTGGTTATATGAGGAAGTCTGGGTTTACCACGACAGCCTAAGATCTTCACATACCAAACCAGCCTAAGAAATGCCTGCAGGCAAGACAGTTTCCATGCACAACTGAGTACACTTGCTCCACCTCTAATGTAGGCTCAGAGTCTGCATCAATTGGAGATTACGATTGTTTGCCATACCGAGCCAATCTCTGGTGAGCAAAGCTAGCAACAAAGTCTCTGGCGTCCTTTAGTCCGATTCAAGATAGTATGGGCCAAACGAAGATCGTGCCACATAAACATTTTATTTTGTAAGGATAGCTCGTTTTCTGGGATAATTTTTGAAACGACCGTCCCCCAATTTCGTGAATTACCCGCTGAATACAGTTGAAACAACAATGTTGAGAACTTTTCTTGTCACTGACCCAACAAAAATTGTTTATGGAGTCTCCATAATTGTACCGTATCATACCGCTGTCGAGAGCAGTAAGCCACGAATCAATCACACCCGACTGGATTACTGCGAATTCGCTGTTGCTTCCATAATTGTACGAACCATTGCGGATTACCTGCAAATAAGTCAATCTATCTCACAGGTAGAATATACACGGATAGGACGATGGGTCTAGGTCTATAAATAATAAAGAAAGGAAAAGCATTTGCCGTTGATCAATCCCTTTTTGGGATGCGGCACGCATTCTACTTCCATTTGTACATTCGTAGTGGCGTTTGAATGCGATGTGGCCTATACAATGACTTGCGGGGGCCAGCCGATGTACAAGTCAGTGTTTTTATCCTCCCAGACAAGTCTGGTACCAATTAACCGACCCCGGAGGGATGGAAGGCTTGGTTGGCCCGGGCGACTCACGACCCAGGATTTGATCCCCGGACCGCTCGCGTGGTAGCGCGCCACTTGTCACTACACCACTTCCGCCCTTCTATAATAATGTCATAAAAAAGGTATGGATAACCATTGTTGTTCCATCGATCTACCCGTCAGCAGATTTATTCTTTCATAGCAATAACTCCGGCTTATTGGTGATATAAGCGGTTGGTAATGAAAGTGTGGATGCCGAGTTGAATGAAATGGAAAAAAGCGAGAGAATGTTAAACACTGGAAATGACTCCTCTGTTTTCGGGAACTTTCGCTCCCTCCATAACATGAGTAAGGGGCGTAT